CAACACGACGGTGTGAGTCTCTTGTCGCGTTCAGAAATCGGATAAATACATATCGCTGTCGCGAGTTTAACAGAATCATCCTTGTACGTTTTATCAAAGAGTATCAAAGATGGGAAGTTCGATGAAAAAGTTTCAATTAGCGTCAAAAATTCCGACGCTTCTGAAACGTTTCGACATCAAGAATTCCGTAATCGTACGAACGATCGTGCACGGTATACACGTCAGAATAGGCAGTTTATGCGGTTTAAGAATTTACGCCAGATCCACCTGAGCGATACGAGCGATTTATTATCACGGTGCTCTGCGCTCCGACAGCTGTATCGGGTTTAATTACTCCATCGTGATTTCTTTGTTCGCTTTTAGGAGGGACTAGAGCGCGGTTTACGAGCCGAAAAATTTGTACCATGTTTGGGAATCATCGGCCGACGTTTCCCTACCGATTTAATTAAAGCCAAACCGAGCGGTATGAATCCGACGGTATCGACGACGTAGCGTGGAACGCGTCGTCTGAGAATAGAGAGACGGACGCCAGATTGGCAGAGAAATTGCGGAACCGAATAAAGGTTTCCCTCTCGTTGACCCAGATAGCGTCGACTACCGGAGATTGTCAAGGGAGGCGATCGGTTCGACGAGAGATCGATATAATGCGTCCCGAACCTAGCTCTTTCGAGTCAATCGTGCGCAAGATATTTTCAACCGGACGCGGCCGACGTTTGGCTTGCATTCAACTCGATCTTCGTCCAAGGATCCTTTTTCTGCTACGTCCGCGGGAGGCTCGGCCTCGCTGGACCTTGCCAGGCCCCTTTGTCAACTCCGATCCCCTCGACCTCCAACCGAGAACATCGGAATCATTTTATCTATTTTTGGGGCGGATGTTGGTTCTATTAATTACAGACACAAATAAAAGAGAGATCATTTTTTCTAAAAGATCTACATTCTTAGAAGGCGACTGGTGCCTGCAACCACTGTCTCTCGTTTTCCTTCAGTCACCACTTGATAGGATGATAAAGAATTCTCTGGTCGGACCGAGCGTCTCTCCGTATAGAAATGTGAAAAAGAAATTGTCAAAATTTTGATGCTTTCGGTAAGCAAATAGCGCTGCGCGTTTGAAACTTTCTCGTATGTTAATGCGAACAAAAGAGAGATGAAGAGCATTAATCCAAGAAGGAAATTATGCGCTTCAGAGTTTTGCGGCCAATTGTATAACGAGACGACGGGAATACAAAATTCACGACAGGAATATTCTTCTGTTCGACGCCTACGGTTTGTCGCGTTGCAAATTGCAAATTGATTTACGGACGACGGCCGTTGCGTTACGCGCGTATCTCGATTTCCTTGGGCCCCACGCATCGAGGTCTCCTCTTCTGCGCTACGATCGTGTGCAATAACGACGCTATCCATATTCAATCAAACGATAAACAGTTTTTTTTTTTTTTTAAGTAAAATTAAAAAAGAAAGGCGTAGAGAACGCCAGTACACCAAGCGTCGGCTTGAAAGTAAGAGTTATCGATATTATGAACGTAAACTTACCCGCGAGTTCGATATTTAAATTGGGCGCCATAATTCGTCATTATCTTTTCTATGAAGACAGGATAGAGATGTCAGAGCGCATTAATCGCGACTACCTGGTTACTTTCACGTAACATTTCGGCGAATAAAAAGAATGGTAAATACTAATAGATTCAGATGTTCTCCGATCCAACGATTTTACGATGACCATAAAACCAAGCAACGAGATACTCGTTACGAACAGCAGATGGAATATCGGACAAATAGCGGTCCTGTCTAGCTTTGATGCTGTCCGTTCGCGCCTTAATTACCACATACCAAACGTCTTCTCTCAATGGTCTCTTTGCAGGGCACACTTTGCAACGCGCGCTCACCTGATTTTTACAGACTCGTAAACCGTTCAAATCTGTGTCGACATTTATTTGGAATTAATGCGACCCCTATTGCGACATCGTTTCAGATTCCAGGTCGGCAAGTGTACCGAAAATAGCTCGGAGAAATTGGTGAACTGACCAAAAAAATATTAATTCATTTTTTTTCATCACGTGAGGATTTCGTAACGGGTTGTGGCCGTGTTCGACAGACGCGATTATTTATCGGAATCGATTGCCTACGTTTCGTCTACGGTCCCGATCGCTGCGTTCTTTCTACAATGATTAAGAATTTCTCTTCTCTCTGTCAGGACTCTGAATCTTAACGAGCACTTGCCCTCCCTGAGCGTACTGCATCATCGCTGCTACATAAATATGTATTACGCTGTAAACTCGCATGGAAGACCGGAATTAATTAGCAATACTTTCGGGACACAGTTACAAAACGCTCATACCGAAAACGTAATCCTTGTGCCTCTTGGTCTTTTCGCGAAATCCCAGTCGACGGTATCTAGCAAAGTTCTCCGGCGGAGAATCCGTAGTTACGTGAGAATTATAATTGTAAATTCTAATCTCCATGTAAACTCTAGATTTCAACGTATTCCACGATTCATCTTTTTGATTTACAACGTTTCAGATTATCGCAGCAACGTACGATTTTACGGACGCCTGAATAAATAGACGAATTCGGGAGTCGAAAGCGTTTTATTACAGCGGGATCCACTTAAATCAGACCGAGTTTTGTCGTCCCACAATTATCGTTTCAGTCTGGAATTTGTTATTCGAACGAGGACGATACGAAACGAAAATTGATTGTAAACAACGGACCCAAAACTCCGTGTCCATCCTTTAGTCGACATTTTTTGCTGCACAAGAATTCGGCGGATCTTTAATTGGTTTCGTTAGCAAAATGGAGAACGCAGATCCTGTTCCAGTTATTTTCACGAAGAGGACGCGAAAGATGAGTAATAAAAATTGGAACCAGTTCCGATTCTTTTATTCACCGACCAGACCCAAAAAGTGGCGGTCGCGTACACCTATTTTTGGGACGGTATACATTGCATGGAATGCAATTCTCGGACTTTCACGGTTCCGTTGAAATCGAAAGTTCGTCGAAAACAGCTGGTCCAGCCTTGAATTTTAACAGAGTCAGAATGTCAGAACCTTTTCTTCGCGAGACTTTTAAATCGGCGACGTTTCGAGAAACCGGACCGAATGCCTGCGGTGTTGCGTTATGCCAGACCGAAAAAAAGAGCGGAACGATCGAGATTTTGAATATGCAGAATTCACGGAATCGCTCTTTTACAATTTTTGGAAACACGTCGACGAATCGGATCGATCGGCTGTATTGAATATTCACGATATCGAGAACGTATCCGCGATAGAAAGCGAATCACGCGCTCTTCGTTTGTTTGTCACCTTGAATAGCTAATCGGCTTCTATAATTAGAGAATATCTTCGATCTGGCTCGATCGTTTCTCCGATTCGATGTCACTTCGAAGACACCTTTCTAAATATTCGAAACATTTGCCGCGCATTTCGTGGACTTGATCTCGAAAATAATTATTTATTTAACACGTTCATACCGGCCCATACCACCGGTGGCTCGCGTGTCTTTGAGTCCCGTATTCACGAGGCCTTTCTCTTGATGCATTTTTAGATGGCGAGAAAGACCGTTAGGGGTGAATGTGTTAAACATAAAAGGGGAAGGGGGACAAACAGAATTCAGGAACGTGGTCAATAACGTGGTTTGAATATAGACACCAAAGTATTTGACATTTCTCGAACCACTCGTCGAGCATTAAATTAATCAATGAAAAAGCATGAGCCATCAAAATCCGTAAAAAATTCTCGTACCTCTAGAAACACCCAGTCGTTCCACACCTAATATTACACGAACATTTCCGATCTACTCTCCAACAAAATTCAGGAACGTGGTCCATAACGTGGTTTAAATATAGATACCAAAGTATTTGACATTTCTCGAACCGCTCGTCGAGCATTAAATTAATCAATGAAAAAGCATGAGCCATAAAAATCCTCCAAATTTAATTCTTCGTACCTCTAGAATCACCCAGTCGTTACACACCCAATATTACACGAACATTTCTGATCTATTCCCCAGCAAAAGTAGGTTAAGATCGCGAGCTTACAGATCGAGTGCTTTCCACGTTAAAAAGAATCATTCGAAGCATCCTCTTCTTTCCCGTCGATTATTCAATCGTTCGTCTCGCCCGTCGACTTCCCGCGGGCTACATTACTCGTACGATTATTCAACGATTCGGATCGTACCGAAGAAATCGTTTTCTGCCTTTTCCAAGCGGCGCCTTTCGTGCCGTTTCATCGTCGATCTTGTTAGCGGGTGTTACGTTCCCGTTCACGCTTTACGACACTTTAATGTGGCCTTTGCTGGCCTAAGCACTCGCGGCTCTTTTTGCGGGATCGACGTGATAAACGCGCGCCGTTCCGCTGACGTTGACTCGGTCTAAAAAGAAAAAAAAGAAAAAGAAAAGAAAACTGTTCCGTTCGATGCATTTATCATTCATCTCGTCGAGAACGTCGCTCGCTACTCGGAGAGGCAAAGAAACCAAGTTCGCGAACGGATCTTGAAATATTTTCCTTCGCAAGCGTTTTTGCTCCTCCTTCGATTCTGCCTTTCCCTCTTTGCATCGTGCCTTTGTCTTTCCTATCATCGATCTCGATCGATTTCTTCTTGCAGAGTTTCTTTTAGTGTTATTAAAAGAATGCCGCGGGCTCATGGACACTGGGCTGTTTTTCATTCGCAGCTTGTCTTCTTCTTACGTTTCTTTGATACTTGATGGTAGCATCATTGCAATATTTACTCCGGACCAACGCACACCGTTCCAGTCAAATATTTCTGAACTGGGAAAGTAATTTCGTTTTCGCAATTTTAAATACTTGTTTATTACTAATCAGCTCGTTGATTTTTATCGATAGCAAAAGGCTGTCGATATCGAGGGCGACTACATAATTACTTAAAAATAGAAATTTATTAGAAATTTGTTCGAATTTAAAAGAAACGACGTTACTTTCCTGTCTACCTAATACCAACCTAACAACCCCTAGTTACCTAACTCCCAAGTCACTCGTTGCACTCACCCCAAGACGCTGCCAGCTGCAGGGCTCCTGTAGAAGTCGCATCTGTGCAGAGGTCTCCTTGGATCGTCCACGTTTCGCTGTCCAGCCGCCTGGCACATCGCTCGATAAAGCTGGAACTGTAGAACCCCGGCGACGAAATTCCTGCGAAACATAAGAGAAAGCGAATTAGACGCATGGCTTCTCCTTAGGCGAACCTCGGCCACGCACATCAAACGGACGACGCAAGTAGTCGCAAGTAGAACGTGAATGCTTTTTTCGATCCAGACAATGGGTTCACGGTAGAGCGATAAACGGACGTGGGACGTCCGCGTCTCGAGAGCCAACCGTAAACGTAGCGATAGGAGCGAGTACTTGGCAAGTATCGCACGGTACTTGGTCCCCTGCGAGTATGTACAGAGACAACGAGCTGGAGCCGTGCCCTTTGCGAGTACTTGGCAAAACAAAAGCGAGAGAGCATTCCCTAATGGCTCCGAATTATAAAAATAATGTTTCCGTTACAATCTTATTCCACTTTTGTTTACTCGGTGAAGCGACAGGTGGGCGATACTCGACGTAATTGCGTATAAACAACAGCGGCATGACACAGAGACATTTTAATTGAAACATTATAAATAAAAGCCGTACTTTAATTAAGCCAGGTCACGCGAAATGCACGCTTTATTAATTTACCTCGGTAAATTAAATTAGCGAAATTAGGAAAGTATCGATTACACACCTGGTTCTAGCTTAATTAAAGCGCATCCTTTATTTACGGTCTCACTTTTAGATCCGAAATTGCCTTTTGTGCTAGCTGATTTTAATCATTTCTTCTTGATGATGGAATAGTGTTTCTCGTACGAGTGGTATTCGAGTATTTACGTGTCGAACTTGATCCCATCCCTAGTGGTCGGATACGCGATTAATTGTCGAAGCGTTTAATGACCCTCGCAGCGGGGACTTTTTAGCGAACCTTGAAGGAATCGCGACGTCCTCTTCAAGGCCAGTGTCAACGAGGTCGATCCAGCCAGGATGCCTTTGGAGCGGCAATCTCGAGCTCCTCTTCTCCGAACAGAGAGAAAGAGAGAAAAAGTGATCGAGCCGATGCGTGTTACCTTTATGCCGTTTCACTCAGACTCTTCATCGGCAACGACCTTTACGTAACATCGCGGGATTACGCTTCGCGATTCCGAGTTACAGTGGCGGACACAAGTATCGGCACGTCGGAGAGATTCCCATCGTAAAACCAAACATAGACACGCGAAAAGTATCGTCGCTGACGCTTGGTTTTACTCGCAATACACTCCGTCACGTCGATCGTAAATTATCGTCGATCTCTTTTATTGGTGAAATCAAATGTTCCTAATGATTTTAATTTTACGTCAACGACCAGTCTCGTTCCAAGAATCGATCTGTGCCAATACTCGCGTTCCACACTGTGCTTTCCATCGTTCCAAAAACTGTTACGATCGAAAGCGAGGAATGTCTGCGCGATCGTTTCACAACGATCGCCGTAATTACAGAGATGTTTTATTGCCTAGGATTTTCGATTCGCTTTCGCACGATTAATTTCGTTGTCGCGTCCTCGAAGCGATCGATAGAAGTCGCGAAGAAGCTTCGCTTGTAAGATTAAGCCTGCGTTAGGCCTGGATTGAGCAATTACGGGAGTCGAGGATGTTCGATTAGCTTTCGCGCGACCAAGTTTGTTTTGAACATGGCCAGAATTCTCCTCGACGAACTAAATTTTCGAAAATTCAACAGAAATTTCTACAGAATCGCTTAGAAATAGATTTCGATCTTTAACGATTAATTTCTGTCCTCGTCGAAAAAAAAAGCGAATCGTCCGATCGGAAGAAACGCGCTCAGCGAAGGTGAAATCGAAGAAAAAACGATTACGCTGCGTGAGAAAGGCAGCAGTGGTAATTTTTATCGCCTGACCTTTGAAGACTGCCCACATGGCGAGAAATAGGCGACGCGCGAAAACGAACGTGGTCTCTTGGCACATCTTTCGATATCCAAGGAAAGGAAAAACACCTTTGACAATAATCGGTACCAAGGTGAGACCTTCTCCGCGAATGGCGTGGCTCGTGATTCATGGATCCGCGTTCAGCCGTCGTTTCTTTTTTCGAGATAATTTACCACGGAGCTTTGCGAAACACAGAAATCGTGAAGGGCAACATTTTTTAATTCCACGTCTACCGACGTTAGATAACGCCTCGATCCTAAGTGGGAATCACTTTCGAATCCCGATCGCGCCGTTTTTCGTAGAAATCCTGCAGCTTTTTTACGAGCCGCGAAATAAAAAATGGATATTCTTGGCCCCGTCGGGGCTTCGTCGAGGCGTGGAATCGATTTCTATCGATTCGAAGAGTAAATCGTTGGACACGTTATGGATAGATATCAGAGGAGATACTAGTACGATAGGATTAGCTTAAGCTTAGAACTCCAGAGATAGAGGTACAAAGATAGAGGGATTAAGAGATACAGAAGATCCAGAGGACAGAACTTGGAGAACGCGACACACAAGCTCCACAGATGAAAACACCCTTTTAAAATAAACAGGAAAATCATGGGATCAAGCATGGAAGTCCCACGGATTCCAGCGACCAACGCGCTCGCACAGCACGCATTCCAGCGAGCAGTGCGCGGCACGCATCGCGGTGCACCTGTTACGCAACGGCGCCGCGGCGCGCGCCCCGAAAGGCGATCATTATTTCAATTTCCAGCGAGCGTTAGAGCCTCGGTGTCTAAGTGGGCGTGTACGCGTGGAAGAAAACGGAACCGTGCCGAGCGAGGACGGGGCGAGGCGAGGGAAATCGTGACGCAGGGACCGCGTGTCTCATGAAAGGGAGCAAATGGTTGCACCCACGAGATTGGCGGCCAGATAAATCCTACGAGAGAGTCTTACGCTACGTGCACACGTAACCGTCGAGGTTGCCTCGAGGAGAAGGACGAGAACGGAACAACGGTGCCACGGAGAAAGGGAAGAGGATCGAGTTTGTCGTTGCACCGGTTCGATCCATCGAAAACGAAAGGATCTCTCGATGCGGCTTCGGGATGGACAGGCATCCTCGTTAAGGGTGGTGGACGGCCAAAAAGAATGCTACACTTTGTGAATTTTTAATTAAATTCAGGTAGTTCTATGTTCTCGCTGGGGAAGCCTTAGAACTACGTAAACAGGTATTCATGAGTTTTTTGTCGATCGAATCGTTAATTTCTGGAGACATTCTTTTGGGTAGGTAGGAGGTAAACAAGTTGGAAAATGTAATTAATTTACAATTGATGGTGCTTATAAGCAATGCCTCGATAAAATTATTTGATTCAAGGAAATCAATAGAACCTTGGGGTTCTACAGTAGGGTTGCATTAGGAGGGAAAAATTATATCGCATCCTTCTTCCTGAAATATTTATGGCGATCTTCGAAAGTAGGACACCAAGAAATCGATGCTTATTTATGAATTTTTTCCAAATTTGCATATCTACGCACACCTCAAGACCACACTTTTTTTCATAAAGGAATTCTCTACATTATGCATTACGCATTAATTTATCGAGAAAATATGTCAACCGCAGGCCTTCGATAAAAATAAAAAAGAAAACCTTCTTTTCCTTCATTGTGGCCGTGCGACAATAAAATTCATACCTATATCAAAATCGACGAATCGGTTTGGCAACGTCACTGTATCTAAGCGTGTCTCAATTCTATCGGTTACATAGATAACAGTGGCCCTCTGGTCTAGACTGGTTGCGAAAATTTTGGAGAAGGACACCGCGGATGCTGGCTTTCGAAAGACAGCGGACCTTTCCCTTTAGCGCGCAATCGCTTAGGCTCGACGATGATCGACGACGAGAAGCGTCGCGCGCAGGGAATTGTAATTAAGAGAGATATTTCACGCGTTGTCGTCGTGGAATGCAAATTGCGCGCATCGTCGGAGTTACAGCGCGAAGCCGACGGGGACGGGAGTCCAGGTCGAGTTAATGCCATCAGGAAAGAATTTCTGTCGCCACGATTTTCGGTCCGTTGCGTCACCCGCCTCGAGAATTTTCTCTTCGAAGCTTGAAACACGCGATGCTATCGTTGCCATGGATTGAAAATTTGAAAATCAACATCCATCTCATCGATAAGGAACACCGATCAATTTCGGTCCATCTTTCACTTGGTTAGAGAAAAGTTCACGTTTAGGGGGTAAACTACCCTTGACACCAAGAATGAAAGACGTTAGGAACTGACGAACATGAAGTGTCGAATATAAATAAAGTTTGGCTTTCGGCGAATAAAGGCGTGCAATCCGCACACGTGCGTACTTATGCAGAAAATCTGCACTGTAATTACGAATAATGAGACCAACGGAAATTAGGGTCCTTTTTTAGTCCCCGCGATTCACAGACACATTTGTCAGCGTTAATATATATATATTTTATACACTTTCATCGGCTATGACGTAGGATCAGGTGTCGTTAAAAAACGTTGAAAGTCATTAATGCAACGTTATGACTAATGCTCCGTGACTCGCGGTGAAAGAGGAGAATGTTACAAGGTACATAACGAGTTGGCAATTCCAAATTGCGATTGCAATAGACCGATGTTGTCTCTGAAAGTGGAGTATCCAAACTGGAATTAAGTGCTATTACTGGCAGCTTAACGTAACTCGTTACAAAAGAGTTACAAAATTAAATAAAAATATGTTGCGCGTATTCGTACCGGATTGCTAGTGTAATTGAAAGTTCATTAAGCGTTATGCAGTAGGAATGCGATCATCAATCATCGAATCTATGATTAATGAGTTTCTGAGGACTGAACAGAGAAAATTGGTCAAAGTAACCGGAACTGTCTGTCGCGAATAATTTAAATAAAGCGATAACGAAGTAAATTAAAACGACACAGTCACCTTCGTCGTCGGGTTACGTAATTCAATTTAATTTCCATTAAATACACGTTTACGGTTCGTCGATGCTCTGCAGCTATTCGCACGGGCGTCTGCCAAATTAATTACTGTATTCATGTAAATTGTACGTTCGGTCGCTTAATTTTGATATCAATTAATTTTCGTATGGATTCGTCAGCCACCCCCAGTCGCTATAATTATGCACGGCTCGATATGTACAGAACTTTCGTCGATTTAAAACAAAAAGCAAATTCTAGTTGGGTCGTATTGTTTTTGATCGCACGGAAATATTCTGCAACATAATTTGCCCATTCATTTTCCTCGATTATTATTCTTCGATTTTAAGAGAGACATAAAAGCATTCAGTATTCGAGTTTCTTTTATAACTTTTAACATTTCTTCGGAATGATTCTCGTGACTCTTCTATACCATGGACACATTTCTATTTTGAAAATTCTAAATGATTACATCAACCATACCTAATACTTTACTTAATTAAATTCAGTATTCACTTCGAAGCATGCCACTTATTCACACGCGTACATCTAAAAGAAATCTTCTTTTCCCGAACCCCGAAGACCCCCATTGTTTCCATTTTATTCAACATCAGCTGATAAGCTCGTCTCTCGAGGTACAAAAACGGACCCATGTACACCCTTCAAAGATTGACAGCCCCTTGAGACCCTTCTGAGACCAGAGATGAGCAAAGTCCTAGGCTTCGAATAAATTTGAAGTTTGCCGATGTGTTTGTCTCGTTTCCTTCTTTGGAAAATGTTCAAAAGAGGAGACAAACATATCGGCAAACCTCAGATTTATTCGAAGCCTAGAGTTTTGCCCATCTCTGCCTGATACCCTTCTCAACAATTTCCTTGAAAACATGTGCCAAATTCTCACCCTAACTGGCTAAAACATCCCCCCGAAAAATCCCTCTAGAAGACACTGTATCCCCAGCCGTCGAATAAGATCCCTGCCGCCCTAGCTCCCATCGTATCGCTACGTTGAAAATGTATCACTCACCGAAGATCGTGAAGCTGGCCCCGTCGTCCGCGAAAAGTAAAAATAGGGTCAAACGAACGTCAGACGTCGGTCGCGCGAAACGACTCGTGCATCGGGGCATCGTCGGTGTCCGCGTAACGGAGGACCTCGAGCCGGAACACAGTGGGGATCGGCGTCGAAGGAAGAAGAAAACGAAATCGTCGCCGTGGGAGAGGGACGGTTTTCGAGAGGCGTGGGGGAGGCCGTGTGCCCCAAAGGGGAGTGGTGGCCGATCGTGGTCGTTCTGCGCGAACAAAGAGGTGTAACGTGGGGGGTACGCGACTTGGGCCCGGGTGGCGAAGGCGAAAGCATGCCGCGTATATAAGGCGACGAACCGCCGGCAATCAGCATCCAGTTCACTTCTGGACGCACCTGGAATATCTCGAGAGCAAAAATGAGAGTCCTGGTACGTCGACGCGTACACCAAAAATCGTCGTGGTTCGAAACGGAAGCGGTTCGAGCGACCTAGTGACGAGATACCGGAAAGAGGGACGCGATCGTCGCAGTGAACGGTTTACGAGGGGGAGTGTGTCTTTTAGATCGGTTCCAGTACGCTTTCCATGCGAGGGAAAATCGTTAACGAGTCCGAATCGGCCGTCGAAGTTGTAGAATCCCGGTATCAGTGAATCGCATCTAAAAAAAAAAAAAGTATTAAGAGTCAAGGTTGTGCAAGGGTTGGGGGCGGAATACTTATGGCGACTAGTTTTGTTGTCGCTTTAGCGCTTCCGGTGGCGTAGGTACTCGCCCTTCCAGGTATCTTTCTACCTCTGGCACGTCTGGACACCTGGGCAGGCGAGATTTACCCAGTCGATAGCGTAAAAGTGACGACGAGACTAAACGAGCCGCGTCTGTGAGATCTCACCCCTGCAGGTTTCAGCAGTCCGTACACGTAATGGATTACCAGAGATTAACCCCGTCGGTTTGATTGATCGTTTTTCGAAGACGATCAACCAGACTCGCGGGGAAAATCGGCAATCCATTGCCGTGTATGGGCAGTCTTGAATTGGGACAGTGAAATCCGAAATCCACTGTTTCCCAATCGACGAGGCGTGTCGCTTATGGCAATGACGCAGCAGCGTTTACGTTGACGATTACTGTAAAACATTTTCGCGATGGTTTCGATAGTCACTAGTGGGTCTCAAACCAAGTATCGTTTACAGTAGGTACTATTAGGTTGGACAAAAAGTTCGTTTGGATTTTAACGTTCAAGTAAACAGCGATTTTTCTTAGACAAGGAAATATATTTATTCCGTAATACATTCCGTAATTTATTCCCTTCGAATAAATCTGAAGTTTGCTGATACGTTTGTCTCGTATCCTCTTTTGAAAATTTTCCAATTTTTATTCAAAGTCCAGGGTTTTGCCTGGTTTACGTTCTCTTAGAATTTTTCTTCATTTTTTGGGCATTCATGATTCTACTACTCAAATTGCAAAGAGCGAACCACCGTTTCAAAGCGAACGAACATTTTGGCCAACCTAATGCTTTCGTAGAATCCTAATTCCATAGAAATCGAGGTACGTCGCTCGTGTGCCAGATCCCTGTACCGAAAATCGCGCGATCCGTTTGCAACCGGTTTCTCGAATCGCTTTCGTTCTCGTCGACGATCAGTTCGTACCGCGAGACACTGACACTGTGGTTTCCAGATCTACGCGACGGCGTTCGCCGTTTTGATCTCGTCCACTTGGGCCGCGGAGGCCGAGAAGGCGGAGCCGCAGGAGGCGGACAAGACCACGAAGAAGCAGGAGAAGAGGGGTCTGTTGGGTCTCGGTTACGGCGGAGGCTACGGCTACGACGGCGGCTACGAGCTCGGCGCTGGTGGACACGGCGGCCTGGAATTAAGCGGTGGCCACGGCTACGGATACGGCAACCTGGTCGGCTACGACCACGGTCACGAGCACGTGAAAACCGTAACGGTGGTCAAGAACGTCGCTGTTCCGTACCCAGTTGAAAAGCACATACCCTATCCCGTGGAGAAGCCCGTTCCAGTCGCCGTGAAGGTCCCGGTACCGCAACCCTACCCGGTGGAGAAACCCTATCCAGTCAAGGTCTACGTCAAAGTACCATACCCCGTCCCGCAACCCTACCCAGTGGAGAAGAAGGTCCCTTACCCAGTCCAAGTGCCCGTCGACCGTCCATACCCCGTCAAAGTACCGGTACCACAGCCGTACCCAGTGGAGAAGACCGTCCACGTTCCAGTCCAAGTACCAGTGCCGCAACCGTACCCCGTAGAGAAGCCTTACCCTGTGCCAGTCAAGGTTCCAGTCCACGTACCCTACCCAGTCGAGAAGATAGTCCACGTCAAGGTTCCCGTCGACCGTCCAGTCCACGTGCCCGTGCCCAAGCCTTACCCCGTGCACGTCGACAGACCGTACCCAGTTCCAGTCGAGAAGCACATACCGGTGCACGTCAAGGTACCAGTGGACAGACCGTACCCTGTCCCCGTCGACAGGCCGTACCCCGTCCCAGTGAAGGTGGGCGTACCGCAACCGTACCCCGTCGAGAAGCCTGTGCCCTATCCAGTCGACAGGCCGGTGCCAGTCGAAGTCAAAGTTCCGGTAGACAGACCGTACCCCGTCCACGTCGAGAGACCGGTCCCGTACGCGGTCGAGAAGCCCGTGCCTTACCCGGTCAAGGTGCCGGTAGCCGTCTCGGTCCATCAGGAGCACGGCTACAACCACGACTGGTCGGGTAGCCACGGTTACCACTAAAGTCGATCGAGTGCCGTCGGTCCGGTCGCTCGTGAACCGATCGGACGGTGGACAGCGACCTGGGACGATCGACACTTTTAGGTTACACAAGGAAAACGAACGAACGAACCGGTTGAGAAGACGCCGTGACGCGCGTCGAGCCGCGTCGCGCCTTTCTTCTGGCATCGGAGACGCGACGGACGAGGACTTCCGGTAGGATCGAAGACGCCTCGATGGTCGGGACCCCGTGACACGGTCGACGCGCGTCACGTCGGAGAGATGCTCATTGTTGGAATCCGCCTTCGGTGACCTCCGCTCGCAAACAGCTCGCTTATCTCACTTTTTCTACCGATATAGCAGAGTATGTATTTTTTTACGAAATATAAATGTTAGCGATACGAAAAAAAAAAAAACAAACAAGGATGCGTTTCATTCACGAGCGATTGCCTCTACGAAGACGGTCTGCGTTTGACCTCGATCTCCTCGTTGTCCTAAACTCATCTCCTCACTTTCGTTTTCCGCGAGCCTAACCGCCGTAGGTTTCTCGCTTCAGCGTTCCGAATTCTCTCCACCAACTGTCCCAACTTCGTCCCATCGTATCCGTTCCTCGTATCGATAATTGGCGATTCCAATTTCCGAACGTCGCGTAAGCCGGATAATCCTCGAATTTTGCACATGTTCTCGCTGCGCGTCGAGCAAGGCTGTACCATTTTCGCAGCTGGAAAATCGATATACGATGGCGCCGTTTCGCTTTCGCGCGCAACGCGATGGGAAAAAGCGTGCGACCACTGTTCGGCGTGCGCAAACCGTGCGAGATTGCGATCCGTAATTAATGACCCTGTTACGAAAACATATTTCTTTCGGCTTGTAAGCTATATGCATATGCAACGCGTATGGAAATAGCCGTGATTTTTATACGACATCGGTATTCGAATTCGTCGAGATACCGATCAAAGAAATTTATGTTGGATCCTTTCGACGAGGGCTGACGATTCTTCTTCTGGGGGGACTGGGTAGCTGATGCGAGCTGACAGGGGAGTGTTATGTATCAGCTTGTCCAGAAAGTTTGTGGCAAGTTTTAAGAAGAATTCAAAGGCACATTTGAATTTGCTATATAAATATATGTACATATATATATGTATATGTACACATATGTACAGGGTACGGTGTGTGTGTATTTATATATATATAAAATTCAAAGGCACATTTGAATTTGGTATATATACATATACCAAATATATACATACATATACAACATGCCAAATATATACATATACGTATAAATACATATATACATATATAATCTAATAAATAGATATATAAATATATATATATATATGTATTTATACGTATATGTATATATTTGGCATGTTGTATATGTATGTATATATTTGGTATACGTATATATACCAAATTCAAATGTGCCTTTGAATTTTTGAAAAATATATATATATATATTTGATATATTCAGAGCTGTATCACCTACCAAAAATCGATACGGACTTTCCAGACAACCCAATATAAGTGGTACGAACATTTAGGACGACGTGATATATGCAGTAGAACTCTATTTATCCAAATTCCGTTTATTTGAGCCGACGACGCCACCGTGCTATCTGAACACTTTGCAGAGCTTTTATTATCGAAATTCCAGTAAAGACTGCTCGTATAAATCCTGGTTGAATCTGGTTGTCCTTCGATCGATTCGGATAAATGGAGTTCCGGTGTATCGGAAAGGAAGCCCATAGGTGAATTTATTGTTGTCGGCTCGCGATGGTTCGACGATTCGACGATAGCATCGAATGAACGATCGTTGGATCTCTCTAGGTAAGTTCGTCGGGGTGGTTGGTCACGCGTGCACGACGGAGATGGGTTTATCGGCGACGCGAGATCGCACGGTGCAGCCGCGACCCAGTTCGCTCGCTGCCAACACGCCCCTGCCAAATCGATGCTCTTGATCACCCCTCGCGTCCACGTACCCTCGTAATTTGCACCGACGTGGCGCCCGACAGCTCGTTGCTTCTCAACCCACTTCTATTTTCTGCGGGAACTTCGCTCGAGCCCGACCTGGCCAATGGAAATTCACCGAGACGATCCTAAAGCGAGGATCCGCGCCCACTGCCGAACTTTCTCCGTTTCGAATATTTTCTGGACGTTCCGGACCACCTCTCGAACGTCGGTCGAATAAATTCTTGTTGGTAATCGTCAACTAAATCTACGAATAAAGTACGTTTGCGTAACGACCACCAAAGTTTATTTCCTTTAGGGCTGTTTTATTTATTTCTTATCCTTCCTTTTATCCTCCCGAAAATATTCCGTCCAACTCTTCGCACCAAACAGTTGCTACGTATCGAAGAGACGAGAGTAACGAACACCAAAGTTTATTTCCTTTAGGACTGTTTTATTTATCTTTTATCCTTCCTTTATTCCTTTTTATCCTTCCTTTTATCCTCCCGAAAGTATTCCGTCCAACTCTTCGCATCAAACAGTTGCTTCGAAGAGACGAGAGCTGCCAGCGGTTATGGCGTCTGCTTAAAATTAGACGTCGAAAAGGTAATAAAAATCCTGTCTTTTCTTTCGATAATCTGGAAATACGACGGTATTAGGGTCAACAGATTATCGTTATTAACACCGAAGCCCGTCCTCCGGAACTTAGAACGAGCCACCGGAAAGTTTAGCAACAGTCTCGAGAATAACATTCAATTACCATGGTTGCGCGTTCGTTAAGCAACCACGTGGATGAGTTGGTAGCCACGCGATTTCATATTCGCGAAGAATAGCGGAGGAAACTTCCTAACGACGGAAAAACTGTGCGTATTGCAACATCCGCGGTCACATTAATGCAAATAACGTAGAAGTATGTAAATATATCACTTTCTCTTTCCTGCAGATTTTTTGTTTTTTCATGAATAGAGCACAGTTGTACGAATCTATTAGGTTGTCCGGCCAGTTCGTGGCAATTTCTAAGAAACATTCAAGAACACGTTTGAATTTTAATATATACAGTGGATGTAGAATGTATTCGTACACCGATCAACTTCCCCCCAAAATTTGAGATGACTACCAAGGGTCGATAGGGAACATAGATGAACTTTCTTGTAAAAATCGTAACTTCGTTGTTCAAGGATCAGTCACGATTATATGATCGAGAATCGAAGAAGTCTGTGGATCGAGTCGGTAGGGTTGAAACTTTTAGAGAGAAGAAAGTCTCGATTGACTAGGGAACGATTAGAGCTGTTACTAGGATCTTCGATTAAGTCGGCTAGTTCCTGTGAAGGTTTCCGTAACGGAAGGCGACGGAGCATGTCGGAAGATCGCGCCTTCTCGGTTAAGTTCCGCGCTATCGACCCACTTTGGCCGTGCCCAACCGACCACTTGACTCGCGAACGACTTACGTGCTTGTCCATTGGACGAACCGTGTTGTTAGTGTTGTTACGCAACTGGCTCGTTGCCGCACGCGACTTCAGTCGAGGCTGAAAGTGAGAGACCTCCCTTCGCCTCCGACGAAAAGATCGCCGCTGGAGAAACTCGCGCGAAACCGTCCCTTTCCCTTTCGACGATCCTGCGAATGCAACTGACACATAACTCCCTCGTTTCTGTAGAATCTTTCGACAATCTGAGAAAAGCTAACCAATCGATGTACGAGAGCGGCGACGATAAGGGGATGTAGCATTGATTTAAGAAATACTTTAGCAAATAATTTGGACTACTTTGTTGGGAAATTTGAAGGAGATATTCGTAGAATTGCCAGTTACAATCTTTAATGTAGAGCGGTGTCAACCATTTGCAATCGAGAGGTGACTCTCGGTCCCTGTTAGGTTTCACGGAGCAAATCTACAATACCCAACGTTTTTAGGTTTAATTTTTTTTCGGAGCTCGACGTATCAATAAAATGACTGTCGGTGAGGTAGAGGTGACCTTATTCTCAAATTTAGATAGCTTAGAACTCATAGCAATAGAATGTTAAGAAACATCTCGAGTTGCTGGTAGATACCGAAAAAAGGCCTCGAGTGCAAAAGGTTGAACGCCCCTGAAGGCTAAGGAATTTTTAAATGCGTTTAATTATATTAATTTAATTATAATGTATGCACTTTGATACGTGAGGGATAAAGTATAGATCAGTAGGAACATTCTCGGATCATTTTCAGTACGATTTTGATAGTTATTAAGTAATTATCGATGATTAGCTTTCTTTTAAAAACTTTTAAACGATCACAGTTTCTCTTATGGCTTCCCGGTATGCAAATTGCGTCTCCACGAGGCAAGAAACAGTTATAGCCATCTCGCGGTCAATAGGTCGAAGTAAACTTAGACTAGACGCAGGCACCTGTATGCCAACACTGAATTCGTACTAATTTTTTCATTATATACAAGCAATTTTACATTATGTCGAGCATACTGCTCGTTAATTAGACTTTTAATTTTCACTTAATGGCCGGAAACTGGTCCAAAGTTCATTATTTAACAAACAAAAGAACAATTAATATGTGTGCGTAAATAAAGTCTTGGAATCAGTTTATTTGAAGATATCAATGATAATAGAGGTCGAAGAATATTTATGCAGCTCTATTATAACAAAACAATGCTTCTAATATAGTTAGAAAACTATTATTAAACGCAATAAAATAAAATTTGTTAAAATTATTATTTATCGATGACAGCGCCACCATCGGGAAAACGTCCAAGTTTGTCCTCGATTAGTTCCCGCTGTCAATGTTAGATGGCGCCATTTGTTTTTTTTTAATAAGAAATATAAGATTAAAGGGTTGAAAAATGATTCTCATTCACATTTTAGTATAACAATACTTGTTCACTAATTTGTTTTAGAATATATAAAACTTTTTTTTTATTCATACAACTGGCGCCATCTAGCGTCGACGGGTGGAACTAATCGAGGACAAACTTGGACGTTTTCCCGATGGTGGCGCTGTCATCGATAAATAATAATTTTAACAAATTTTATTTTATTGCGTTTAATAATAGTTTTCTAACTATATTAGAAGCATTGTTTTGTTATAATAGAGCTGCATAAATATTCTTCGACCTCTATTATCATTGATATCTTCAAATAAACTGATTCCAAGACTTTATTTACCGAATTATTAATTGTTCTTTTCTTTGTTAAATAATGAACTTTGGACCAGTTTCTGGCCATTAAGTGAAAGTTAAAAGTCTAATTAATGAGCAGTATGCTTGGCATAATGTAAAATTGCTTGTATATAATGAAAAAATTAGATCGAATTCAGTGTTGCTACACAGGTGCCTGCATCTAGTCTGAGTTTAGTTCGACCTACTGACCACGAGATTGCGATACCGTTTTTTGCCCCGTGGAGACGCAATTTGCATACCGGAAAGCCATAAGAGAAACTGATAGTTTAAAAGTTTTTAAAAGAAGTCATTGATAATTATTTAATAGCAATAAAAATCGTATTGAAAATGATCCTAGAATGTTCCTACTGATCTATACTTTATCCCTCACGTATCAAAGTGCATAAATTATAATTAAATTAATATAATTAAACGCGAGAAACTGTGATAGTTTAAGTTTTTTTTAAAAAAGAGCCCAGTCATTGATAATTACTTAATAGCAAAATCGTACTGAAAATGATCCTAGAATGTTCCTACTGATCTATACTTTATTCCTCATGTGTCAAAGAGCACAAATTATCTGTAGAAAGTTAAGAAACAACAATATAAAGCGTACACTTTTAATCACTATAAATTCTATGGAACGCAACGTATGATCAACTGAAGTACCAACAA